CACACACACACACACAAAAGTACAGTTTAGTGGCATTAAACATATTCATAAAGTTATGCAATCATCACTACCATGTATTTCCATAACTCATTTGTGGAACTGAAACTCTGTACCAATTAAACAGTCGCTCCCTATTTCCTCCTCCAAGCATCTTGTAACCACCATTCTATTTTCCATCTCTATCATTTTGAGCATTTTTAAGTACCTCAAGCAAGTGGAATTGTGCAATGTTTTCTTGCTACTTATTTCATTTGCAGATACCTTCAGGATTCATCTATGTTGCAGCATATGCAGAATTTCCTTCCATTTATTTATTTATTTAAGTTATTTCAGAAAGGGTCCTGCTATGTAGTTCAGGCTGGCCTTGAACTTGACCCAATGCCCCTGCCTCAGCCTCCCGAAGTGATGGGGTTACAGGTTGCTGCTGCCACACCCTGTCAAATTTTATTTTAAAGCTGAATACCCCAATCTATTTTTTATTGACAATATTAACCAGGGTCTATAAAAGATATTTTATTTGCTATCAGTCACGGGTCCAATCTTTTTGATGGTTGCTATTGTTGCTATAAAAGTAATACACTGTAAGTACAAAAAGTTGGGAAGAAGCAGAAAAATATAATGGGAATAAAAATCACTCTCAGTCAGATCTCTGATATTAATCCCAACAATCAAGAGGATCACAAATCTGAGGTCAGCCTGGGCCACACAGTGAGTTTGAGGATGGCCCAGGTGATATAGAGAGACTCTGTCTCTAAGAACCAAAACCAAAACAAAGGAAAATAAACACAAAAACCCTTACACAGGCAAGAGGATAGCAAATTTGAGGCTAGTCTGGGCTACATTGTGACTCTGTTTCAAACAAAACACTTTGGTAGCGGGCACACACCTGTAATCCCAGCACTTGGTGAGGCAGGCGGATTGCTGCGAGTTTGAGGCCAGCCTGGGCTATACAGTTAGTTCAGGGGCAGCCTGAACAATACAGCAAGATGCTGTCTCAAAAAACCGAAACAGTTTTGTAAAACACTGAACATTAAAAACTTCAGCTACACACTAGTTCAAAGATTGATTCCAACATCATTACATCATTAGCTATTTGATATTTCATTTCCTACATCAGTAAAACGAGCCCTAATATCCAGAAGGAATTATATACAAAAAAGAATGGCTATGGGAAAAACATCAGGCAATTATAACTGGATAGTACTGGCCTGATCCAACTGGGATCTTGGCTCCCAAATTATAGAGCCCCCTTTTTTTTTTTTGGTGCGGGGAGGGTTCTGGGGATTGAACTCAGGGCCTTTTCACTGAGCTACATCCACAGCCCTTTCTTATGTTTTATTTTGAGATACGGTTTTGGTAAGTGCCCAAATAGGCCTTTAATTTGCAATCCTTCTGCATCAGCCTCCTAGAGCATGGTTTTTTGGTTTCTGTTTTTCTCCAGTACAGAAGCATGGCTGTACAGGAATATGATCAGAATTGTGTTTTTGAACGTTTCCTGTGGCAAGTGTGTGAGTGTACTGGAACAAGACTGAGACCTGAGATCACTTCAGTAATGAGGCTGCTGAGGTCAGTAGGAAAAGAGAAATAGGAAGTCACGTATGAGAAACTAAGGACTGGAATGTGTAAGATTTCATGATTCACTGCAGGTGGTTACAGAGGTAAAAGATATCAAAGTCCAAAGTTTTAACCTGGATTATTAAATAACACTTCTCTCCAGCTCTACTACCAATTTACTGTATCATCTTTGCCCCCCAGTTAGACCAAAACTCCATTCCTTTTTATTTTTCCCTCTAATCAATTACCCTCTTAATGGATTCATCCGAAAATATGAATTAGATCAAGTTATTGCTCTGTTTACAATTCTTGAACCACTTCCCCAAGCCCTAATACCTTACAATGTCTTATACAGCTCTCCCGGCTCTGGGTCTTTAACTTCTCCAGTGTCACCTCCTGTCATTGCCTTGCTCCAAGCTCATTTCTGCCTCTGGATCTTCATGGGTGCTGTTCCTAGGTCTAGAGCCCTTTGCTCTCCATCTTCTCTACCATGGACTGAACCCACAGAGCTACATCCTTGGCCCTTTATTTTATGTATGTGGTACTAGGTATGGAGCTTGAAGGGCTTTGAATTTTTTGTTTTAATTTTGAGACAGGATCTTGTTAAATTTCCCAGAGAAGGTTCAAAATTGTGATCCTCCTGCTTCAGCCTCCCAGAGCGCTAGACCCACAGGTGTGCACCATCATACCTGGCTCCATCTTTTCTTTATAAAGCCAACTTTGTCATTTGGATCCCAGCTTGCCTCTCACCTCCTGTTCTAACACTTGCCTAAACAAGACTTTTGCTTGCTAGTCTATTGTAGCACTGATTCCTCAATAGCACCTACCAAATTAAAAACTTAAAAAATATACTGATGTAGTGTACATTTACATTTAAATTTTCTGTTTCCTCAAACTGTAACCTTCACCAAAGGAGGCTTGTCTGTCATATTCTCTTTTTGCCTGGTGCACGGCACTGTGGCTGGTATATGGAAGTCATTTACTAAATGTTTTGATAATGGATTGAAGAATTATTGAATGAAAGATCTGGTGAGATCATTTATCAGAAAAGGACATGAGGAGCTGGACTGTGGCTTATGCCTGTAATCCATAAATTCTAGGAGGCCGAGGCAGAAGGATTGAAAGTTTGAGTGCTGGAAAAAAGTGCTGGAAAAGTTTGAGTGCTGGCTTGATTGAAAGCCTGGGTGCTGGCGGCATGGCTCTTGATGTTCCCAGGAAGAACAGCCAGAGCATTTAGAAATAAGGACAAGAGAGGAAAGCTGAGGTCATGTGGAGCCCTCTCTCCTGATGGGAGGAAAGAACTGTAGAGGGTTTATTTATACACTCAGGAGTTTGATGTCAATTTCAACCTGTCTGCCTGGCAACCACTTTGCAAGCTGGAACAGCTTGGTTTTTTTTTTTGTTTTGTTTTTCTCCGGTACCGGGAACTGAACTCATGACCTTGCGCTTGCCAGGCAGGCGCTTTGCCGTTGAGCTAAATCCCCAGCCCTGGAACAGCTTGTTTACATGGCTCCAGGAGCTCTCCCTCTTCTCCCTCTGCCAGGCTTTGTCTTAGCCCTGGACATGTCATTGACTTGCAGCTTCAGCCACTCCTTACATCTCCCCCTTTTCTGTTTTTTTTTTAAATTTTTTAA